AGCTGGGATTACAGGTGCCTACTACCATGCCCAGCTAATTTTTGTGTTTTTAGTAGAGACGGGGTTTCACCATGTTGGTCAGGCTGGTCTCAAACTCCTGACCTCAGGTGATCCACCCGCCTCAGCCTCCCAAAGTGCTGGGCTGACAGGCGCGAGCCGCCGCGAGGAGTGAGGGCTCTTTTTCCTTGCAGAGGGTGGAAACCTTGTGTTCTCAGCCCAGAGTCCTGAACTCTCCTGCTCTGTCGGGGAAGGGGAGGACCTGGGGGGTCCCAGCCTCTCTCTCAGCCCCACCAGCTGCCACCCTGTTCCCAGCAGCACCCCCAGGCCCACGTGGACATCTACGAGAAGCAGCCCGTGCCCTTTGGCCTGGTGCGCTTTGGCGTGGCGCCTGATCACCCCGAGGTGAAGGTGGGTCTCTGTGGGCCTGGAGGCTGGGGTTTGGAGGCTTTGGTCAAGATGAGGAGGGCAGCGAGGCTCCCTGGCTGGATGACAGGACTTCATGCTGTCTGTGCCGATGCCACCCAGCTTTCATCCTGGGGACACAGAGTGGTGAGGGTGGTGCAGACGTGGACCCTGGAGCTACCTCACCCTCTAACCCCTCCCATTCCCGGGGGACCTGGCAGAATGTCATCAACACATTTACCCAGACGGCCCACTCTGGCCGCTGTGCCTTCTGGGGCAACGTGGAGGTGGGCAGGGACGTGACGGTGCCGGAGCTGCGGGAGGCCTACCATGCTGTGGTGCTGGTGAGTGCAGCTAGGTAGGCCCTAGGTCGGGGAGGCAGCGGCTGCAGAAGGGGACCGGTGGCTGGGGGTGGAAGGCAGCAGGGGTGAGGCCAGGATGCAAGCTGCTGAGGAGAAGCTGGAAGGAGGCTACTGGGAGCCTGGGGGGCTGCCCGGCCCATCAGTGCTGGTGTTGAGGGCTGTGGGTCTCGGGCCTGCCATCTTTCATCAGAGCTACGGGGCAGAGGACCATCGGGCCCTGGAAATTCCTGGTGAGGAGCTGCCAGGTGTGTGTTCTGCCCGGGCCTTCGTGGGCTGGTACAACGGGCTTCCTGAGAACCGGGAGGTGAGTTTGGGGAGCATGCCTGCTGCATCTTCCTCCCCGCCCCTCAGCCTTTTAATGCCAGCCCTGGGGAAAGAGGGAGGGAGCTGCCATTCAATGGCGAGATGTGACCTCATGCTGACTGAGGTGGGAGGCCAGCTGTGGAGGACCTTGGGGGAGAGCTGGGTCCAGGTGGAGGAGGAGGGACCAGAGTCGTGGACTTTACTGGTGTGGGGAAGCCCCAGGGCACAGTGAGGACCAGGCGTGAGGCACCTGCAGACTGAGATGAGCTGAGTGGAGCAAGGCCGGGGGACCCTATCGAGACCTTTCCCCTCCAGCTGGAGCCAGACTTGTGCTGTGACACAGCCGTGATTCTGGGGCAGGGGAACGTGGCTCTGGATGTGGCCCGCATCCTACTGACCCCACCTGAGCACCTGGAGGTGAGTGTTAGGTCGGGGCTGGGTGGGGGTGGAGGTGGAGTCACCCTGAGGAGAGAGTGCCCTTGTCTGCAGGGTTCAGGCCTCACCTCTCCAAGCTGGACTCAGTGCCTCTGTTTCCCCGTGGTGCCCAGGCAGAGGCCCTCTGAAGGGCAGTGCCATGCGCTTCCTCTTCTACCATTTTCCCTTCACTTTCTGCACTCCAGCTAAGTGGTGTTTTTCTCTTATTCTTCAGTACGCCACAGGACCCTTGCTCACACCATCCCCTGCTTGGATCATCCCCACTCACTTCCCACCAGTTAACAGCTAAAGTTCACCTTTGAGATCTTGGCTCAGTTGTCCTTTCCACCAGAACGTCCCTGAATTGGTCCACTCCCCCATCATGCCTCCTCCCATAGCCCCGTCTGCTTCTGTTTCACAGCCTGTTATCGCCACGGCAATTTTACACACATTGATGAGTATTATAGTATTTATCTCCCCAGCAGATCAGAAGCTCTGTGAGGGCCTGCTCCTTGTCTCTTTTGCTCACCATTGACCACCCCTGCTCCTCCAAGCTCTTTGAATTGCAGGGAGCACATGGTAGAGGCCCAGTGAATACTTGTTGAATGACCGTGTGGGCCTGGTGTGCTATTAGTTGGAGCCATTTGCAGAGTTGGCAGCAATGCTCCATCTGGCCACCAGGGGGGAGCAGTGGTGCAATTTTGGGCCTCCAGCCTTCTGGCCCACGGTGGGGACATGACCAAATGGAGAGTGCCCTTTCCTGGGTCAGTGTCTGATGACTCCAAGGCCCTCCTTTTGTGCCAGAGAACGGACATCACGAAGGCAGCCCTGGGTGTCCTGAGGCAGAGTCGAGTGAAGACAGTGTGGCTAGTGGGCCGGCGTGGACCCCTGCAAGTGGCCTTCACCATTAAGGTGCTGGGGCTAGAGTGGGAGGAGCCAGGGTTCCAAGTGGAGGAGGCCTCTCCTTAAGGAGCAGGGGTGGGGCAGAGCCCCTGGGAGTAGCTGCTGCCTGGGATGGAAGAAGGGGAGCAGCCAGGGACCCGGGGGCCTGTGCCTTCAGGGAGGAGGGGAGGTCTCTCCTGCCTGGGCTGGACCCTGGGGTGGGCTGAGGTAGACTGTGTCCCGGGCCTGACCTCCTCCCCCTTCCCTGCCCCCATCTTCAAGGAGCTTCGGGAGATGATTCAGTTACCGGGAGCGAGGCCCATTTTGGATCCTGCGGATTTCTTGGGCCTCCAGGACAAGATCAAGGGTGAGGAACCCTGGCCTGGCCCCCCAAATACTAGGGGGAGGGTGGCCTAGGTCAGACAGGGACTGGGGAAGGGTGTGCAGGGAGAGGGCTGGGGCCCAGGGACAACCTGGAGACATTCTACGTTGCCAACAGAGGTCCCCCGCCCAAGGAAGCGACTGACGGAACTGCTGCTTCGAACGGCCACGGAGAAGCCAGGGCCGGAGGAGGCTGCCCGCCGGGCATCAGCCTCCCGTGCCTGGGGCCTCCGCTTTTTCCGAAGCCCGCAGCAGGTGCTGCCCTCACCAGATGGGCGGCGGGCGGCAGGTGTCCGCCTGGCAGTCACTAGACTGGAGGTGAGTCTCACGTTTCCCAAAGACACCCCGTTCCCAGGCCTCTGCCACCCCAGCCTGGTGTTGGCCACACTCTCCCCAACAGGGTGTCGGTGAGGCCACCCGTGCAGTGCCCACGGGCGACATGGAAGACCTCCCTTGTGGGCTGGTGCTCAGCAGCGTTGGGTATAAGAGCCGCCCTGTCGACCCAAGCGTGCCCTTTGACTCCGAGCTTGGGGTCATCCCCAATGTGGAGGGCCGGGTTATGGATGTGCCAGGTGAGAAGGGTGAGGAGGCTGGGTGCTGAATTATGGTGAGAGGCCGAGAAGCTAGTATCTCCTGGGGCCACACGTTCATTCATCTAGCAACATGCACGGAGAAGCTTCTGTAGGGCAGGCCCTCTCCAGGACCCAGTACCACCCTCCTGTTGGCCCTGAGAGAAGTTCCAGTCTAGCTAGGACATATGGGTCATTGTCGGGTCATGAAGTCATTCAACAGACATTTACTGAGGTCTGTTCTGGGCTAGGCCCTGTGCTTAGTGCTGGGATTGGAGATTAATAAGGCAACCTGTGTCCTCAGGGAGCTTCCAGCTTTACTAAGGGCCCACATACCTATCTAGTGATTAATTCACTTGGTAAACATTTACCAAGGGCCTACTGAAACTGCAGGGGAGCAAGCTTCAGCTCCTAAGCTTAGGGATCCCCTCATCTATAGAGACACAGAGGTGTAAGGGGGTCAGCCTGGTAAAAACAGGGCGAGAAGAATCCAGGGCAGTGGACCAGTGGCCACAGCAGGCTCAGCCGACAGTCTGCCGAGAGGCGTGGGGTGTCTGTGTGCGTGCACATGGTATAGATTGTGGGCACAGGATGGCCAGGGTGGTATCCAGCCACCTCCCTTCCTTCCTCTTCTGTTACCCCCTCTTAGGCCTCTACTGCAGCGGCTGGGTAAAGAGAGGACCTACAGGTGTCATAGCCACAACCATGACTGACAGCTTCCTCACTGGCCAGATGTTGCTGCAGGACCTGAAGGCTGGGCTGCTCCCCTCGGGCCCCAGGCCTGGCTACGCCGCCATCCAGGCCCTGCTCAGCAGCCGAGGTCTGGGCCCCGATGCTGAGGTCTTGGGAGGTGGGGTGGGTGGTCCCTTCTCTGGGGCCTCACTCTTTGGGAGGGGGTTGTTCTGGGAGGGGTGAAGGAGGAGGTGTTAACAATCTCCCCTCTGCTTCAGGGGTCCGGCCAGTCTCTTTCTCAGACTGGGAGAAGCTGGATGCTGAGGAGGTGGCCCGGGGCCAGGGCACAGGGAAGCCCAGGGAGAAGCTGGTGGATCCTCAAGAGATGCTGCGCCTGCTGGGGCACTGAACCCAGCCTCAGCCCCTGCCCCTGGCAGGGAAGGGATGAATGCTGGGAGGGGAAGGGCTCCATCCGTCTGAGTGGGACTTTGCAACCTCTGCTGATCCCAGCCGGCTGTGGCTTGGAGGCTTGGCTGCTATTCCAGTGTCTCCTCCCTCCTAGGGAAGGTCGCCCTTGCGCCCAAGGGTTTAGCTTTCAGCTACCGAGGTAACCTTAGGGACAGGTGGAGGTGCGGCCGACCTAACTCCTTACCCACCTCTCTACTGCTGGACTGTGGTGGGTCACCAGGTTGGGAACATGCTAGAAATAAAACAGCTGCAACCAAAAGCCATGGTTAATTGGGGACTTTTTTTGGAAGGGTTGGGGTCGGGGGTCACCTTCTGGCCGTAGCTCCCCTACCGTCACCAGGTGGCGCTGCAGAGACGGCTCCCTGCTCCGGGGCCTTTCGGGGGCTTGATGGGGCTCGGCAGCCAGGCCTGGCATAGACACATTCTTTCTCGGCTCGGCCATGCTGTGGCTGCGGGTTGCCTGTCTTCTGTCCACACTAGGGCTGCCTGGGACCGGGACCTCCCCTCCCTGGTGAGATCTCAGTACAATCAAAACAGAAGAGAAGAAATGGGAGCAGGGGGACTGAGCAGCAGCTTGTCCCCTGTACCTCTGGGTGCCCCAGGCGAGTCTAGCCCGGGGCCCATTCTTTGGCTCCCAAAACCTTCCTGCCTCTCTTTCCAGTCAGACCCACTGGCCTTTAAAAATAGTGCCTCAATCTCCCTAGGAGTTAGCAGTGTCCGGAGAGTGGTCACTCCCTTTCATGGCAGCCCCCAAGATGCTGCTGCGCTTTATAAACTGAGGGGTCCTCGAAATTAACCCAAGGTCACACACTTGTGAGCTGCAGGCTCAAACCTAGGTTTCAGGCAGGCTGGTGTTTCCTCCGAGGCGCACTTGCTCCGAGTGTCGGGTCTGGGGACGCGGTCCCGGAGAGGAGAGAGGGACCCGGGCCTGCGGCGGGAGGGGCATCGAGGGGCGACTGGCCGGGCCGAGCCAGGGCGGAGGCGACGGGCCCCGGCGGGGCGGGCCCTCGCGGGCGGCGGTGAAAGCTCCTGCACAGTCGGCTGCGAGCCCTGGGAGCAGCAGGCTCGGCGCGCAGACCAGCCCGGGACGGAGCCGGGCGCCGTGTGAGCCTCGGGAGGGTCGCGGGGCGCGGGGGCCGGTCGGGGCCAGCCGGCCAGGCCGCGCCACCCTCCCCCGCCCCGCCGCGCCCTGGCTCCGGCGCCCGCGGAGCTGAGACTGAGCGCGCCAGCGCTCCGGGGCCGAGGCTCTGGGACAGACACCGCGAGGGAGGCGGCCGGCGTGGGCTCTCGGCGCGGACGCAGCGCCCCTTCCTCTCGGTGAGTGGCAGGCGGCGGGCGGGGGGCGCCAACTTCGCCGCCAACTTGGGGCTGGGTTCCCGCGGCGCGCAAGCAAGGACGGCGGAGACAGAGGCGGGACACCTGGGGGGAGCCGGGCCCGCGCAGGACTCTCGGGGCGCGAGGAGGGGGCGGCTGGAGGACCCGGACCCTCGGGAACCCGGCCTTGGGTTTGGACCCAGGCGGCCGGAGAGGAGGTGAAGAAGAGGCCGAGGAGACAGGCACGCGGCGGACGTGAGAGAAGGACGCGGGTGCAGCTCCCCGGGGTCGCCGAGCCCCCCTCCTCCTTCGCCTGGCGCGGCGGCACCGCGGGAGTGGGGGAGTCTGGGCTGCCGCGGAGGACCCCAACTGTTGCTGCTGGAAGCCACCGGGGCGGAGGGCGGGGAACAGGTCAGGGAGCTGGGGCCAGGGCTGGGATCGACCAGAGCGAGGGGTTGGAAAGGAATCGAGAAGGCGAAAGGGGGCTGTGCGGCTCCCCAGCCCAGTGCCCCGGTTTCCCTAGGTCTGCTGGGCACCTGCTGCACACTTGCCTCGGCGCCCAGACCCCTTCCTCCGCCGTGAGTGCCGATTCTTCCCCTCCAGCTCTGCCCCATCTCCTCTGCCCCAGCCTAGGTCTCTCCCTCCTGCGACCGGGGAGAATCGGAGTGGGCTTCCGGAGTAGTGGCATCTTGCAGATGCTGGCCCGTGCCGGGCTCCCGGGCTTCCAGCGCGCGAAGGGAAGGGTAGGCAGAGAGGGCGCTGGGCGAGCGTGACCTGGCGCTGGGCCCTGGCTGCGCACCAGCCGCCTGCGCCAGTCTCTGGGGGCTTCACCCAGGATCCCCGACGGCGGGGAGGGGAAGCCTCGAGCCTCCTGTTTCCTGCCTAGGCGGGCAAGGCGGGGACACACGGAGCAAAGGCACCAGGCAACCTGAACCTCCAGGTGCGTCCCACGACCCTGCAAGGAGCTGCTGGGTGAGCAAGACAGAAATTCCCGCCAGGCCCCGATGCCCACCCTATTCGTCCACTCGGTTTCCCAGTCCTGGTAGTCCAAGGGGACTTCTGGCTCGGTCCCCCAGCCCTCGGATGGTGGCGTCATCTTAGTTCAGTCCCTGAGCCCAGGCCACAGGAAAATCGAGGAAAGAAACTTATTTGGGGAGGGTACCATTCCGCTGGCTGTATTTCGGAGCCCGTCCAGGTCTTGGCGGGGCTAGTGACTTTGAGCCTGTTTCTAAACTCCCGAAGAATAAGAGCGTGCAAGAGGCAGGTAGGCAGGTCCAGGACACCTGGGTTCGCCCAGGGCCCCGGGGCAGGCCTGGGCTGGTACCAGGGCCGCCTGCTAGACTGGCTTGGTCCCCCCACTGCGGGGCTCAGGATCACGACCCAGCTTGGGGGAGTGGGGGTGGGGGCGCTGGAGCCGGGGGCGCCGGGGGGGGACCGGGGGGGGGGGGGGGGCGCCGGGTGCGTGGTGCCCAGCTCCGCCGCCAGGAGGCGTGGCGCGGGTCCCCGCCCGGAGCCGCCGCCGCCGCCGCCGCATCGCGAGTGTCCTTGAGCCGCGGGTGACGGTGGCTCTCGCTGCTCGCGCCCCCTCCTCCCGCGGGGGGAGCCTGATGCCACGTTCCCTATGAATTATTTATCGCCGGCCTAAAAATACCCCGAACTTCACAGCCCGAGTGTAAGAGATTCCTGCGGAGGGGAGGGGGCGGGGCGTCCCGGGGGCCGGGGGGAGTCCGGGCTTGGTCAGCGGAGACTGGGGGCCGTAGCCTTGGAGGAGCGAGAACTCCGTGCCCCCAGCAGTGGGGCATGCTAGAACGCCGGTCCTCTCCCCTGGCGCCTCAGTTCGGGTTTTGGCCGGGCAAAAGGGAGGGAGGGAAACCCGACGGCAAAGGAAGGGCGGCTCACCGGAAGGGCAGGGGGTCCGGGGTTCTGCTGGTGGGCAGGGAGGACTCCAGCGACCAAGTTTCCTAGCCTGGGAGAAAGGGAGCCATCGGTATCTCCGATGTGAGCCGGTGTGAGTGCGGGAGTGTGCATGTGCGTGCAGGTCTGTGCCAGGGGATCTGGCTGAGCTGTGGGGACCCAGGAAGAAGGCCCCCAGCCTGGGAAGGTGCTCAGACCCTTCCAGATGCTGCTGTGTCCTGAAGGATTGACCACTGCCATCCTCTCTGGGGATCTTTGGGGATCTCTGTGTTTGTCAAACATTAGTTTAAGGGCTGTTTGTGGAAGGGGTGAGACCCTGAGTGGGTGGGTGGGCAGAGGTCTCTGAGACAATGTGTCTGCCCTCAAGGAGCTCGCAGTCCAGTGTGGGGCAGGGTGTTCATGAGTGCACACACACACACCTGCCGCAGGACAGAATGGAGGGGTGGAGGGGACTACTGCACAGAGCTCCCACCCAGGAGGGGAAGCCAGGGCAAAGGGAAGAAGGGCAGCTGCCTCAGCCTGGCCGCAGACCCTGCACCTGGAGCCTGAAGCATCAAGGCAGGTGCCTGTGGGAGAGGGATTTCAGCTGGGCCCTGAAGGAGAGTAGACTTCTGTTGGGATGAGGACGTTCCAGCCTGGGGGATGCTGGAACAAGGCCTGGAGACGAAGGCAGAGTGGGGCTGTTGGGCCAGCAGACTGGCAGAGCTGTGGGCTCCAGGGATGGGAGGATGGTTGGTTGTGGTCAGGGTGCAGAGGGCTCTGTCTATGGGACTAAGCTGTCCGGACTTCATTTGTGGGCACCAGGGAGTAGCTGTCCTGTGTGAGGAGGGAGCAGTGGCTGGAGGGCGGCTTCAGCAGTGCAGTGGGGCTGGTGGGGGTGGGTAGATGGGAGGTGGGGAGGGGGAGGCAAGGCAGGAGATTGTGGTGAGGCAGAGCGGGGTTTGTCCCTCCTACCTCTGTAGGGCGGCGGGGTTAGACAGGGTAATAAGACAGACGTCAGAAGCTCCTTGAGTCTGCCCCTTGCTATTGGGAGCCCAGAGACTTACCTAGTTTTGGCCCCTTTCTCTGGAGGTATTCTGGGATCCCTCCCCCATTTTAGGCCCCTTGGTTAGAGATACAACCTGCCTCAACTCCCCCACCCCCTAGCCTGGGAGGACACCTTCCCTTTGGAGAGAGTCTCTGGTGTCCCCAGCCCAGGAGGATGCCTTCCTATTGGAGAGAGCGGGAATGAGAACATTTCAGCTGTTATCAGACCCTATTCCTGCACGTGAATGAGCTCTAGGTCCTTGGTTAAGAAAAGGTCTTGATTGGGGAGGCCGGAAGCTTGAGGGGAGTATGGAGGGCAGGCTATTGGTGGAAAGAGAGATACATTTAGAAGAAGGAGGTTGGAGACGCCCATGGCAGACTGCTTATTCTGCCCCTTTGCAGTTGAGGAGCCTGGGCCCTTCATCCACGGTAACACTGTCCAGAGAAGTAAAATAAATAAATAAATAAAATGGGAGCCACAAGTGCAATTTAAAATTTTCTAGTAACCACATTAAAACAAATAGAGGCTGGGCGTGGTGGCTCAAGCCTGTAATCCCAGCACTTTGGGAGGCCGAGACGGGCGGATCACGAGGTCAGGAGTTCGAGACCATCCTGGCTAACACGGTGAAACCCCGTCTCTACTAAAAAATACAAAAATCTAGCCGGGCGAGGTGGCGGGCGCCTGTAGTCCTGGCTACTCGGGAGGCTGAGGCAGGAGAATGGCGTAAAAACCCGCGAGGCGGAGCTTGCAGTGAGCTGAGATCCGGCCACTGCACTCCAGCCTGGGCGATACAGCGAGACTCCGTCTCAAAAAAACAAAACAAAACAAAAAAAAACAAATAGAAACAGGTAACATTAATTTTAATAGTATATTTTCCTTGACTAAACATACCCCAATGTTATTATTTCAACATGTAATTAAGATACAAATGTTTATGAGATTTTGACATTCTTTTTCCCTATTGTCTTCAGTGTGCAGTGTGGGATGAAATTTTATACTGGTAGCAACCTCCATTTGGGTGAGAGATGTTTCCAGTACCCAATAGTCATGGATGACTGGGAGCTTCTATACTGGGCAGCACAGATCTAGAGCTTATCACTGGGAGGCAGTGGTGGTAGGAGGTTTGGGGCTCCCCAGAGGGCAAGGAACCTCTAGGACCTGGAGGTGTGGGCAGAGGTGGGCAGACAGAGGCCTTACAAGGGGAGTGGCAAGCATGTCAGTGTCCTTTGTGGTCGAGATTTGACATCCCTGATTGGTGGTGGTAGCTGAGGCATGGCATGGCATTGATCGATCCCATGCCAAACTCAAACATGTCTCTGGGCTGTCAATTCTGTCACTTCTGTGTCACTGTACTAGGGAACCATACACATGGGAAGACTTCAAGGGCACCAACATGAGAACAATATTCCCTTCCTTGCCAAAACTCCTGTCTTGTTAGCCTGAAATTCTACCACCTGGCACTTTAGCTTAAGGCTCAACTACCTCTCTCTTGGGAATGAGAACCCTTTCAGCTATTATCAGTCCCTTATACCTTCCTGTGAATAAGCTCTAGATCCTTAGCTAAGAGAAGGTCTTAAGGGGGAGGCTGGGGAGTTTGAGGGAAGTAGGGAGGGAAGGGTGGAAAGAGAAATACATTTAGAAAAAAATGAGGTTGGAGGTGCTAACAGCAGCATGCTCATTCTGCAGATTTGACTCTAAGTTCCTGGAGGGAGGGACCATGTCTCACCCACAGGGACATTCCACCGTCCAGTGCCGACTGCAGGGAAGGGGCTCAGTACACATGCGCCAATTTATGTTTCTGCACTAAAGTCAGTCTAGTGGGTTCCCCTGGAGGGATCCTTTCAGTGCCACCCTGGGGAGAAGAGGAACTTTCCTGAATGTTCCCGGTAGCCTCTTGCACTTCCCCGCTCTCTGGATTCCTTAGAGAAGACTAGAGACCCAAGAAGGCCCATATGTCTGTAAGACATTAGGCTTTGGATTAAAAAAAGAGAGAGAAATTTGGCGGCAGGCAAAAGGAAGGCCCTGTGAGAAAGCTGGAGCCTGCCCAGCCATTGTCTCGGGCCCCAGCCCTGAAGGACATCTGCCTTTCCGAGGCGCGGTTTCTGGCAACTTCTTGATTTTTGTGAGCATTTCTGTAGCAGAAATGTGCAGATCCTGGGGGAGGCGGGAGGGCTAGAGTGGCAGGCTCATCCTGTCCACCCTTTAGCTCTCCCCTGCTCAGAAGTTTTGTTGGGGATGTGATGAAGATGGAAGAGGTGGCAGTGCCGTGGCCGATGGCCAGCTGGGAGAGCGACATCCGTGGGCACCACTCCACTCAGGCTTTGCGTTACCCTCACTGCTGTGGCTCTTGGTCCCAATCCAAAATAATGACATTTAGCAAGGATACATGTCAGGGCCCTGGATCGGATTAAAAAGATCCTGCACGCCAGTGATGGCCTGAGAGGCCAGCCCACCAGCTCATGTGAAACGAGACCAAACCCCCGCTCACCAGCTTGGGGTTTTGGGTACCCCTGAGCTCTGAACAAGTCAGCGCTGTTGCACCCTGCTGCTAAGAGCTGCTGCTAGCCGAGGCCACAGAAGGAAGGGCTGTAGTGACGTCCAGTGCTGAGGAGGAGGGGGCTCTGTGCCAGGCAGAGCCATGCAGAGCAGGGCCCTTGGGGCTGGCCCCATGGCAAGCAGGGCACGCTGGACCAGTAGCACAGGCCCTGATGAGAGACAGATGGAAGATCCCATTTAGACTACAGAGAGGACTGGCGGCGGGGCGGGGGGTTGGGGGTGATGTAAGAGCTGTCTTCCTTCACCTGGCTGGGGGCCTGTCACCTGCAGGATAAGGTCACTAATCCCAGCAAATAGCCTGTTAGCTCATCTAAGTCCCCACACTGCTGTGATGATTTCAGGCAAGAAAACATGGCTCAGAGAGGCTAAGTGACTTCCCTAAGATCACACAGCCAGTTAGTGGCAGAACTGGGACATGAACTCAGATCTGTCTGACTCAAATCCATGCACTTGAACCCCAGACTAGCATTTTCAGTATAACTTTCTAGGGCAGAGCCCGGTGGCTGAGTTTCGGAAGGCCTTGCCTTTCCAGCCAAGTGTGCAGTTCATTGGTAGACTGGAGGGCTGGGTCCTGGTTGTGGCTCCTCTTCTTCCCCAGCCCTTGCTCTTCCGGGATGACCTTGGGATGCTCAACTAACCTCTGTCTCTTTCTCTTTGTCTGTGTCTGTCTGTCTCCCTCTCTCTCTGCCTCTCTTCGGGGAGGGAGGTTTTCCCTTCTTCTCTTTCATCTTCTGTATGTGTGCCCCTCTGTCCCTCCTGTCTGTCCATCTACCTCTCTCCAAACCTCTGTTTCCCTATCTGTGCTTGTCCTGGTCTCTCCGCAGGACCCTCCAGTGGACATGGGTGGGGCCCTGGGGCCGGCCCTGTTGCTCACCTCGCTCTTCGGTGCCTGGGCGGGGCTGGGGCAGGGCGAGCAGGGCATGACGGTGGCCGTGGTGTTTGGCAGCTCGGGGCCGCCCCAGGCCCAGGTTCGTGCCCGCCTCACCCCCCAGAGCTTCCTGGACCTGCCCCTGGAGATCCAGCCACTCACAGTGGGGGTCAACAACACAAACCCCAGCAGCCTCCTCACCCAGATCTGCGGCCTCCTGGGTGCTGCCCGCGTCCACGGCATTGTCTTTGAGGACAACGTGGGCACCGAGGCGGTGGCCCAGATCCTTGACTTCATCTCCTCCCAGACCCATGTGCCCATCCTCAGCATCAGCGGAGGCTCCGCTGTGGTCCTCTCCCCCAAGGTGCATGTCCAAACTCATGTCCCCTCGTGCCTCAGGCCTGGAGCCAGGTTGGGGCGGGCGGTGCTTAGGTTCTGGGAAGCTGGGATTAGACGGGACCAGCAGGGAGGTGGGGGCTGAGGGCATGACGTGGGTGATGGGGAGATGGCTATGGAAATGACAGCCCATGTTCTAGACGAGAGACATTCTGGGCTGCCCTCACATTGTGTCTGGATGAGGGGCAGGCAGGGTGCAGGCCCACCTCTGGCTGCGGGGCTCAGGCCCCAGCCCTCCTGCTGTCTGCTGCCCTCAGCTTCCTAGGTCAGGGTGAAGACCCCGAGGGCCAGCTGGGCATGGAGGTGGTGCCACGCCCTTTGGGCAGTGGTAGTTCACCTGTAGGGTGAGCACTCCAGGGAACCCTGGAACCCTGGGGGAGGCAGAAATGGCCCTGCCCTTGCAGGGCTGGGGGAGAACGTTCCAAACACACACCGATCCGCAGTTACAACTGGGACAAGCATTCTGAAGGAAAAACACAGGATGCTGTGAGGCAGCTCACGCATGGCTCATGCATAGGGTGTTGGCCAGGGAAGGTCTCTGGAGAAATGACGTCTAGGCTGAGGGCCTAAGGGTGAGTCAGTGGGGAGGGGGAGAGGCCCAGGCAGAGGAGCAGCTGGGATGAAGTTCCCAAGGCGGGGAAGGAGCTCAGAGCTTTGGAGGAATAGAGGGAAAAGCCTGGAGAAGGAGGCGGGGGCCTGGCCATCTGAGAAGACATTTGGGCTTTTCCCTAAGCAAGTGGGCAGCCAGGGCAGGGCAAGCGGGCTGTGATGGTGGCCATGATCCGTGCCCGCCTTAGCCCTGTGAGCTTCCTAGACCTGCCTCTGGTGATCTAGCCACTCAGGGAAGAGCAGAGGAGAGTCGAGGGAAGAGACTGATTTGATTTGCCTGTTTCATTAATTTTTATATGAAGAATTTTGAGTATACATTAAAAAGTATAAGGAAGGCTTATATATCCCCCATTCGCCCTGGTCATCCACCCCAGCCTCACCACCACCCCCTTTCCCTTCTTCTGTGTTAATTTGAAGCGAAGCCCAGGCATCCTCTTATTCCATCCATAAATATTTCAGTATGTATCCCTGGCAGATAAGGGATTAAGAAAGTAAAACCACCATACATCATCACATCTAAAAAATAATAAAAATTCCTTCAAATATCCAGGCAGTGTTCAAATTTCCCCATTGTCTCATAACTGTCATAAATGTTTATTTTGCAGCCTGTTTGCTCGAATCAAGAGCCAAATCAGGTCCACACGTGCCGGTTGGTTGGTGTGGCTTCTAAGTTTCTCTCAACCTCTGGGCCCCTTCTCTGTCTCTCCCTCTTTTTTCCTTGCAATTTGTTTGTTGAAGAAACTGCATTGCTTGGCCTCTGAATTTTCCCTTATTTGCTTTTTTAAAAGACTGGGACAGTGGCAGCAATGAGACCAGTTAGGAGGGGACTGCGCTGACCCCGGTGCCAGCAGGCAGTGCCTTGGGCTTTTGTGGTGGCAGGGGGTGGAGAGGAGCTTTCCCACCCTCAGGGCTCCGACCAGGATGGTGTTTCCCAGTCCTCTTGGGGCCCCGGCGTAAGATCTCAGGACACTGGCTCTCGACCCTCATCGTGCTCTTAGGAAATACAGACACCTGGCTTTGCACCTCTGGAATTCAGATTCAGTTGGTCCGGGGCAGCGCTTCTCAGTCTAGCGGGCTCAAGGGTCCACTGAAGGGCTTGTTAGAATACAGATGCCAGGCGCCATACCCAGCGACTCCGATCCAGTCGGTGTGGGGTGCGACCTGAGAATCTGCATTTCTGACAAACTCCCCGGTGGTGCTGATGCTGCGGGTCTGCGGGCCAGCGTGGTGGGCTGGGGGCCGGGCATGACCATGCTAATGGGCAGCGGGGAACCACGTTGGGGCGGGAGGGAGGCGCAGGCCAGGGGACTCCCGGAATGCGGAGCATCCACCGGCGCAAGGGCGCCTGGGAGCGGATGGAGGGGCCGAGGTCGGGGAAGGGGCGCGAGGCGGGGCTCAGCCTGCCCCGCCCCGGCTCAGGCCCCGCCCCGCCCCCAGGAGCCGGGCTCCGCCTTCCTGCAGCTGGGCGTGTCCCTGGAGCAGCAGCTGCAGGTGTTGTTCAAGGTGCTGGAAGAGTACGACTGGAGCGCCTTCGCGGTTATCACCAGCCTGCACCCGGGCCACGCGCTCTTCCTGGAGGGCGTGCGCGCTGTCGCCGACGCCAGCCACCTGAGCTGGCGGCTGCTGGACGTGGTCACGCTAGAGCTGGGCCCGGGAGGGCCGCGCGCGCGCACCCAGCGCCTGCTGCGCCAGCTCGACGCGCCCGTGTTCGTGGCCTACTGCTCGAGCGAGGAGGCCGAGGTGCTCTTCGCCGAGGCGGCGCAGGCTGGCCTGGTGGGGCCCGGCCACGTGTGGCTGGTGCCCAACCTGGCGCTGGGCAGCACCGATGCGCCCCCTGCCACCTTTCCCGTGGGCCTCATCAGCGTCGTCACCGAGAGCTGGCGCCTCAGCCTGCGCCAGAAGGTCCGCGACGGCGTGGCCATTCTGGCCCTGGGCGCCCACGGCTACCGGCGCCAGCACGGAACCCTGCCAGCCCCGGCCGGGGACTGCCGCGCTCACCCTGGGCCCGTCAGCCCTGCCCGGGAGGCCTTCTACAGGTGGGCACCTGCCCGGGGCATAGGGGTAGGGAGGTGGGGAGCACTTCGGGGGACCTGGGTGGCAGTGAACTTGGGCTGGCCAGCTACACCTCCCACTAGCTGCATGCCTGGGGCCACATTACCCCACCTGTCTGGGCCTTAGTGTCCTCATCTGAAAATACAGCAGGTGTCAGGGTGTGGCAAGGATCGTGGGGCCAATATAGGGAAGCACTTTGAACAATAAACACAATCAAGGCCACCTGCTGTCGGTGGTGGTGGTGAGGCAGAGGCAGGGGTTGCCTGGTCCTTGGCAGGGCTGCAGGCATCTCTCCCCTCTGGCAGGCACCTACTGAATGTCACCTGGGAGGGCCGAGACTTCTCCTTCAGCCCTGGTGGGTACCTGGTCCAGCCCACCATGGTGGTGATCGCCCTCAACCGGCACCGCCTCTGGGAGATGGTGAGAAGGGGGTGAGCCCAGGGGCCCTCAGTGTCCTCTCATTTTGTCTCCGCCTCCTCTTGTGCCCACAGCTGAGTCCCTCTGTCCCTTATCCAACCCCTCATCTTCCAGGTCTCAGCTGAAACAAACATCTCCTCCATTGGGAAGCCTCCAGGTGCCCCGGGGTGGGTGAGGTGCCCTGCTCTGGGCTCCCATAACACCCCAGCTTCCCTCCACTATAGAACATTTCAAGAGCTCCTATCTCCTGGTCCTGCCCCTGCAGGAGTAACTCATGACCATGCTGGCCAGATGGGCTTGTAAACAATATGGAGAGATCAGTGCTTGAGTAGATGTGTGCAAAAGATTGTGGGATTGGAGATGAGGAACAGGAATTAGTTCTGCCTTCAAAGGAAGAAACTGGGGAAGAGGTCACAGAAGATGGGATATTTGAGCTGGGCTGTGGAGGTTTGAGTAGGAGCCCACCAGGAAGAGGTGTTAGCCTGGAAGAGACAGAGAGGCAGAAGGGTTTGGGGCATTTTTAAGTGATGCAGGGGTGTGTTTGGGGGTGTGCAGACTGAGGAGGTAGGAGTGATGGGGGGACACTGGACCTGAGCATGAAGGGCCTTGAGTGCTCAGCTAAGGACTTTCTGTCAAAGTCAGGGGGGACCAGTACAGTGAGTGAGACAGGGTCAGGTCTGGGCTTTAGGAAGACGCTGTGGGTCAGTGTGGAGCTGGATTGGAGAACACAGGGACCCGAGGCTGGGGAAGGCTGCCAGGAGCAGCCCTACTCTGACCTGCCCCAGCGTCCCCAGGTGAGAGAGGGGGATTCTTGGCCCTGGCAGGCTCCACCTAGAGGGTGGGGGCTGTAGGGCTGGAGGCCCCAGGCTGAGACTGTCACCCTCCACAGGTGGGGCGCTGGGAGCATGGCGTCCTATACATGAAGTACCCCGTGTGGCCTCGCTACAGTGCCTCTCTGCAGCCCGTGGTGGACAGTCGGCACCTGACGGTGGCCACGCTGGAAGAGAGGCCCTTTGTCATCGTGGAGAGCCCCGACCCTGGCACAGGAGGCTGCGTCCCCAACACCGTGCCCTGCCGCAGGCAGAGCAACCACACCTTCAGGTCTGCGGAGTGCCCTGGGAGGCTGGTGTGAGCTGGGTGCTGCTGTGTGATGGTCAGGTGTCGTGTATGTCTCATGCTTGGGTGTGGGGCAGGGGTCCATGTGCCAGGCTGGGAGGAGCGGCTGGGGAGGGGCTGGGCCACGACGTTCTCTAACTCCCGGTGGTCTCATGGTGGCATGACTGCAGCAGCGGGGACGTGGCCCCCTACACCAAGCTCTGTTGTAAGGGATTCTGCATCGACATCCTCAAGAAGCTGGCCAGGGTGGTCAAATTCTCCTATGACCTGTACCTTGTGACCAACGGCAAGCATGGCAAGCGGGTGCGCGGCGTATGGAACGGCATGATTGGGGAGGTAGGCCCCAACCCACTCCCTCCTCACCTGCCCTGCCTGTCTGCCTCCTGCCCAGGCCCATGCGGTTCTCAGATGCCCTCTAGAGGGGGGCATGGGCTGTCACCAGTGATGACTCCTGGGATGGTCAGTACTGAAAGCTGAGCTCTGAGGTCCCCAGAGGGAATGACTGATTCAGCCAGTGGGTGTTAGAAGGGGTGCCTGGAGGTGCCTGTGAAGCGTGTCTACCCCTCAGGAACCCTTTTTCCAAACCTCCGTGGCGTCTGGCCCCCAGGTGTACTACAAGCGGGCAGACATGGCCATCGGCTCCCTCACCATCAATGAGGAGCGCTCCGAGATCGTAGACTTCTCTGTGCCCTTCGTGGAGACGGGCATCAGTGTGATGGTGGCTCGCAGCAATGGCACCGTCTCCCCCTCGGCCTTCCTGGGTGAGGCCCAGGGTGGGCAGAGATGGCTTCGGGGCCAGAGGGGCCCACAAGGAGGGTGTGTACAGCTTGGGTGGAGATGGGGAGTTGGGTGGGCTCTCAGAGGCCAAGCACAGCAGCCTTGGGTCTTGGAGGTTGGCTGGAGGTGAGTGGAAAGGAGACGGGAGAAGTGAGGTCGGTGTTCGGTTCTAGGTATGGCTGCCAGGTGAGGGTGGGGTTGGGGGTGTGGGATGGGTCATGGTGCCACTGTGAGTGATAGGAAAACTTGGCAGGCAGGCTGGCCTCAGGAAGGGCCATGGGCCAGGACCGTGGAACAAGTGGGGGAGGCCCGTGGGGAGCTGAGGAATGAGTGTAGTGTGGGAAGAGGTGTGTTGCTTCCTGAGTGAGGAGTCCAGCATTGGTTGGGCAGCCAGGTCCCATGCTGGGTGCTGGGGCTACAGTCATAATCCTTGCTTTCCCACAGTGCCCAGTCAGAGGTCACGTGGGACATGCAGTATGAGGTGGCAGAGAGCTGTGAGCACAGGCAAGGGGCAAGGGGCACTCCTGAGGCTGGCCAAACAGGAGTGAAAACCCCGGCTCTGCCCTGTCCTACTGTGTGGCCTTGGGCAAGTCACAGAACCTCTCTGAGCAGGCTCCTCAGCCACGGAAGAGAGAAAACAAAACCCACTTCATAGCATAGCAAAGGCTCATGGCAGGAGTGATTTCCCTTCCTCCCTTCCTCCCTCTCTCCTTCCCTCTCTTCCTTTCTTCTTTCCTTTTTTTTTTTTTTTTTTTTTTTTTTTTTTTTTTTTTTTTTAAGATGGGGTCTTCCTCTGTCACCCAGGCTGGAGTGCAGTGGTGCCATCTCGGCTCACTACAGCCTGGACCTCCTGGGCTCAAGTGATCCTCCCACCTCAGCCTCTTGAGTAGCTGGGACCACAGGTGCATGCCGCCACACCTGGCTAATTTTTGTATTTTGTATAGAGACAGGTTTTCACTATGTTGCCCAGGCTGGTCTCCAAACTCCTGGACTCAAGCAGTCCACCTGCCTCAGCCTCCCAAAATGCTGGGATTACAGGTGTGAGCCACTGCACCTGGCCAACAGTAGTGATTTTTTTTCTTTTTTTTGAGACTGAGTCTCACTCTGTTGCCCAGGCTGGAGTGCAGTGGTGCAATCTCGGCTCACTGCAACGGACGCCTCCCGGGTTCAAGTGATTGTCCTGCCTCAGCCTCCTGAGTAGCTGGGACTACAGGCATGTGTCACCACGCCTGGCTAATTTTTGTATTTTTGGTAGAGACGGGGTTTCACCATGTTGGCCAGGCTGGTCTTGAACTCCTGATCTCAGGTGATCTGCCCACCTCGTCCTCCCCAAGTGCTGGGATTACAGGCGAGAGCCACCAAGCCCAGCCAGCAGTAGTGATTTCTTACTCGAGGAGATAGAAACAGTCTTGTCCGAGGCCTGGGGTGGGTCTCTCCAGTTCCCTGGGCACGGGTTTCCATGTTGGTAGGATGAGGAGTAAGATTTGGCCTCAGGGGCCCTGATTCCAGGCGGAACCACCAGATCATCCACTTGGGGCCAGGCAGGGGTTGTGAAGTCAAAAGAACGTTTCTTGGGGTGGGTGACTTGTACCTGTCCTAGGGAAGTGGGGGATGGGGGAGACCAAGGATGCTGGAGATCCTGACCTCTTTTGGGGGCCTCTCCTGGGGCTCTGCTGCTGTGAGTCAGGGGCCCCCTTGGCTGGGTCCGCAGAGTTGGTGGGCCCCTACTTTGACCACGTGGACTCCACCTGTCTCCACCCAGTGCTTCTGGGCTGGGGGCAGGGACAGGGAACATGCCAAGGCCTCTGAACTGCCTCCCTCTGTCCCCAGAGCCATATAGCCCTGCGGTATGGGTGATGATGTTTGTCATGTGCCTCACTGTGGTGGCCGTCACCGTCTTCATGTTCGAGTACTTCAGCCCCGTCAGCTACAACCAGAACCTCACTAGAGGCAAGAGTAAGCCTCGCCTGGACCTGGCAGGAGGGGTGGGCCTGGGCACCCTGAGGGTTGGGCTCAGGGGCAATGGGTCCTCCAGAGAATACCTTTGGGAGGTCCCTTGCCTTTGGATGACACATGCTGGGGGCCAGTCAGATCACACACACACACACACACACACACACATGGGCGAGCTCACTTGACTTGGTAAGGGAATGGCCAGGGACGGATGCCCCCCAAGGCCAGGCTGAGCCCTGAGCCCTTTCATAGTGGGCAGGAGGAGCCCCAGCAGCCCCCTCTTGCCCCCAGAGTCCGGGGGCCCATCTTTCACCATCGGCAAGTCGGTGTGGTTGCTGTGGGCGCTGGTCTTCAACAACTCGGTGCCGATCGAGAACCCGCGGGGCACCACCAGCAAGATCATGGTTCTGGTCTGGGCCTTCTTTGCTGTCATCTTCCTCGCCAGCTACACGGCCAACCTGGCCGCCTTCATGATCCAGGAGCAATACATCGACACTGTGTCGGGCCTCAGTGACAAGAAGGTTGTGGGGCCACAGGGTGGGGGGACACTGAGGGTGGGGACAGGCTGTGAATGCGCAGACCCAGGACAGTCAGAGTCTGGGGAATTTGAGCTGGAGGCTGGGGCAGGAAGAAGCTTCAGGGCCTGCTGAGGAGGGGGTGGGGGCTGGGGCAAGAGATGGCTCAGGGTCACCGACTGAGAGGCCTTGGGTAAGTCTCTCCCTGTCTTGGGCCTCAGAGTCTCCATTTGGAAAACACAGGAGTGGCCTGGACAGCCTTTAAGACCTTCTGCTCTGACTATGCAAGTCCACACTGTGGGGCTGGACTCTAGGGTGGGTTTGGGGCTTTGGTGCCTGGAAGGCTGGAGGAAGGGTTGTGACTGGCTGCTGCCCTCCACCTGCAGTTTCAGCGGCCTCAAGATCAGTACCCACCTTTCCGCTTTGGCACGGTGCCCAACGGCAGCACAGAGCGGAACATCCGCAGTAACTACCGTGACATGCACACCCACATGGTCAAGTTCAACCAGCGCTCGGTGGAGGACGCTCTCACCAGCCTCAAGATGGGGTGGGTCCCCAGCCCTGCACCCGCTGTCTCCATCCACGTGTCTCCCCAGTGACCAGCCTTAGCTCTCAATGTAGGGACAGTAGGACTGAGCTGCCCTGCAGGACTCCTGGGGGATGGAGGGAGGAGGTCTTGGGACAGAGTGGAGCTTGAGGCAAAAATGGAAGGCCACCATGTGTCTCAGAACACAGCTGTGGTGCCGACCAAAGTTCAGCCTCGGCCTGAGGTGGTGGCTGGGACATCCTCTGAGCCTTAGGAGCATGGAGGGGGTGGGCAGAAAGGGTGGTGTCTTCTGGGAACACAGTCCCCTGGCCACTCTGCGGAGGAGGGTGGGAGGGGTCCTCACTGCATCCAGGACGCAAGACAACCAGACAGGGCTCTGCCCATTGGTCCCTCCCAGCAAGCTCATGTTGTTTAGACCCCTGTCACGCCCCAGTTTCGGTGTCCCCTACCCTCCCATATGGTCCCTAGCTCTGAGGCTCAGCCTGTCCCCAGGAAGCTGGATGCCTTCATCTATGATGCTGCTGTCCTCAACTACATGGCAGGCAAGGACGAGGGCTGCAAGCTGGTCACCATTGGGTCTGGCAAGGTCTTTGCCACCACTGGCTACGGCATCGCCATGCAGAAGGACTCCCACTGGAAGCGGGCCATAGACCTGGCGCTCTTGCAGTTCCTGGGGGACGGTGGGTACTGCCACTGCTGGGATGCCCAGGGTGGGCTGTGGAGCCCAGGGTTGTCAGCATTTCCACCACCACTAAAGTTCCCAAGGCCTGTGGGCAGGGAGAGGTCTCTGGGGGGTGAGAGGTTGGGGCAGTTGAGGGGGGCAGGTATAGGAGCAACTGGAGAGAGACTTGAGGAAGGGATAGGTGTGCAGGGAGGGAGCAGGAACTGGGCTAGAGACTCCCTCAAAGGCAGGAAGACAGGGAGGGGCTCAGGCCTCACGGTGGGGGTGGGGATGGATGGAGTGGCTGAACTCCTTTCTTCTTCCCTAAGACCCCTCCCATGATCTCTCCCAGATGAGCACCTCCTTTGCTCGGTATAGTATCTCCATGGCCATCTTGAGATTATGGATCTGCTTAGTCCCACATGTGTGAGTGGCTGGTCCAGCCCAGCCTGCCCCCAAACCCAGAGAGAGCTTTGCGTTTAGAGGAGTTCCATTCTTGTTAGATAAGACATGGTCTAGACTGGGTGTGGTGGCTCATGGCTATAACCCCAGCACTTTGGGAGGCTGAGGCGGGAGGATCACTTGAAGTCAAGAGTTTGAGATCAGCCTGGGCAACACAGCAAGATCCTGTCTCTATAAATAAAAGTTTTAAAAAATTAGGCACACACCTATAATCCCAGCTACTTGGGAGGCTGAGGCAGGAGGATCCCTTCAGTTCAGGAGTTTGAGGCTGCAGTGAGCCATGATTGTGCCACTGTACTCCAGCCTGGGTGACAGAGTGAGACCCTGTCTCAAAAAAAAAAAAAAAAAAAAAAAAAATCTAATTTTTCAAACCATATAATAATGAGAGTGGCCAGGTGAGGTGGCCCATACCTGTAATCCCAGCACTTTGGGAGGCCAAGGTGTGAGGACTGCTTAAGTCTAGGAGATTGGGATCAGCCTGGACAACATGGGGATACCCTCTCTCTACAAAAGATACAAAAATTAGCCAGGTGTGGAGGTGTGCCTGTAGTCCCAGCTACTCAGGGGGCTGAGGTGGAAGGATCGCTTGAACCTAGGAGATCCAGGCTGCAGTGAGCCATGATCACACCACTGCACTCCAGCCTGGGTGACAGAGCATGACTGTCCCAATAATAATAATAATAATAATAATAATAATAATAATAATAGCGATCAGAACGCGTGTCTCTTAGGAGCCTAGGCCTTTTGTCTCTGTGTGCCCAGCTCCATGAGTGGCATGTAGATGGTTAATAAGTATATGAAGATGAGTGAATGAATAATGTTAACATTTACCCAATCAACAAGCCTTTACTGGGGGTGCACAGGGGGAGGACCCAAAGGCCAGCATTGCCCACTCCAGTCTGCACCCTGCTTTCCTATTTCCTTGCTCACTGACCCTCCACTCCCCGCCCCACCACCCTGCCCCAGCCAGGCTAGATCCCCATGTGGTCCGCTTGAGGAAGAAGTGGGTGGCGCCCTGGCCCCAGATCCATTCTTACTCCAGGCTTGTGTTGAGCTTTGTGAGGGGGTTGCTTATGGGGGGATTTCCTGAGCCAGATGTGTATCCCCACTCAACTCCAGGAGAGACACAGAAACTGGAGACAGTGTGGCTCTCGGGGATCTGCCAGAATGAGAAGAACGAGGTGATGAGCAGCAAGCTGGACATCGATAACATGGCAGGTGTCTTCTACATGCTGCTGGTGGCCATGGGGCTGGCCCTGCTGGTCTTCGCCTGGGAGCACCTGGTCTACTGGAAGCTGCGCCACTCGGTGCCCAACACATCCCAGCTGGACTTCCTGCTGGCTTTCAGCAGGGTGGGTGCCCATCCCTTCCCACACAAGCCAAAGCTTTAAGGGCACCTACCCAGATAAGTCCAGGCTGGCCATGGCCCATTTCCAGAGGTAAAACCAAGGTTCTGGCCGGGCTCGTGGCTCATGCCTGTAATCTCAACACTTTGAGAGGCTTAGGCCAGTGGATCCCTTGAGTCCAGAAGTTCGAGACCAGCCTGGGCAACATGGCAAAACCCCATCTCTACAGAAAATAAAAGAATGAGCTGGGCGTGGTGGTGCGCGCCTGCAGTCCCAGCTACTCAGGAGGCTGAGTTGGGATGATCACTTGAGCCCAGGAGGCAGAGGTTGCAGGGAACCGAGATGGCACCACTGCACTCTGGCCTGGGCAGCAGAGTGAGACCCTGTGTCTAAAAAAAAAAAAAAAACCCACAGTCCTGAGAGGTGGCATGGCTCACCAGGGCGGCAGGGTTGAAGAGGGGCAGAGCCCTCCCCCCACAGGTGTGCCCAGGTTGGAACCTTCATGTGCCAGGTGCTAACTAGAGTGATTAGGAGAATGAGTCACCCTGGGCGCTCAGACCACTCATTCATCTGCAAAGCACAGTGGCTGGCACATGGGAGATGCTTCCCAGTTAGCTGCTTCCTGAGACTTAGAGAAGGCTGATGATGCCTTGGGACCAGGCGGGGACAATCGTGGTGGGTCCCTGAGCAGAGGGCGCTGCTCACGGCCTGTCGTCTCCCTACTGCCCAGGGCATCTACAGCTGCTTCAGCGGGGTGCAGAGCCTGGCCAGCCCACCGCGGCAGCCCAGCCCGGACCTCACGGCCAGCTCGGCCCAGGCCAGCGTGCTCAAGATGCTGCAGGCGGCCCGCGACATGGTGACCACGGCGGGCGTGAGCAGCTCCCTGGACCGCGCCACTCGCACCATCGAGAACTGGGGTGGTGGCCGCCGTGCGCCCCCACCGCCCCCCTGCCCGACCCCGCGGTCTGGCCCCAGCCCATGCCTGCCCACCCCTGGCTCGCCCCCAGAGCCGAGCCCCAGGGGCTGGGGACAGCCAGGCGGGGGTCGCGCGGCGCTTGTGCGCAGGGCTCCGCAGCCCCCGGGCCGTCCCCCGACGCCGGGGCCGCCCCTGCCCGACGTCTCCCGAGTGTCGCACCGCCCAGCCTGGGAGGCGCGGTGGCCGGTGCGGGCCGGGCACTGCGGGAGGCACCTCTCGGCCTCCGAGCGGCGCGCGCTCCCAGAGCGGCCCCTGTCGCCCGCGCGCTGTCACTACAGCTCCTTTCCTCGAGCCGACCGATCCGGCCGCCCCTTCCTCCCGCTCTTCCCCGAGCCCCCGGAGCCGGAGGACCTACCGCTGCTCGGGCTGGAGCAGCTGGCCCGGCGGGAGGCCCTGCTGCACGCAGCTTGGGCCCGGGGCTCGCGCCCGCGCCACGCTTCCCTGCCCAGTTCCCTGGCCGAGGCCTTCGCTCGGCCCAGCTCGCTGCCCGCTGGGTGCACCTGCCTCACCTGCGCCCGCCCCGACGGCCACTCGGCCTGCAGGCGCTTGGCGCAGGCGCAGTCAATGTGCCTGCCGACTTACCGGGAGGCCTGCCAGGAGGGCGAGCAGGCAGGGGCCCCCGCCTGGCAGCACAGACAGCATGTCTGCCTGCACACCCACACCCACCTGCCGTTTTGCTGGGGGGCTGTCTGTCCTCACCTTCCATCCTGTGCCAGCCACGGCTCCTGGCTCTCTGGGGCCTGGGGGCCTCTGGGGCACAGGGGCAGAACTCTGGGGCTGGGCACAAGCTACAGGGACAGTGGGGGACTGGACGAGGTCAGCAGGGTAGCCTGTGGGACGCAAGGCTTCCCGGGACCCTGCACCTGGAGGCGGATCTCCAGTCTGGAGTCAGAAGTGTGAGTTATCAGCCACTCAGGCTTCCAGCCAGCTGGATTCTCTGCCTGGCACTGTCAGGATTAAGCGGCAGGGAGGATTGGGCTTTTCTCGCTTCTACCATGAAATCCTGGCCATGGGACCCCAGTGACAGATATCTTCCATGGTCATCAGTGACCTCAGTAGCCTCAAATCGTGGTGAGGGTTGGGCTTCTGCTGTCCTCTTATCATGCAGAGTTCTGCCAGGAGGGTGTGCTGTGGGGGTCAGACCCCTGAGGCTCTCCCTGCCCTGGGGCTAGCCAGTTACTGGTCATGGCTGCTGTGGGTGTGGAGACTGGAACTTGTGGTTGAGGCAGGGCCATGCTGATCCTTGCTCTACCTGGCTGGAGTTTCTTCTCATCAGAGCACTGGGACATTAAACCAACCTTTTACAACACACTGGTCCTGGTTGCTTCATTCTGCATTCTGGAAGGGGCACAGCACAGGCCATAGACAACAGGGGCATCATGGGAGTATCCCAGGTGGGGTGTTTGCCTAAAGCAGGTGGGCAGCTCCCTCTCAGGGAGGCGGAACCTTGGGAGCGTCTGGGAGGGATGTGGGAAGGAGGTGAGGCTGAGAGGGGGCTCTGGACAGCAGAAGCCACTTGGTATTCAGGGCCAGCTCCCACCTATCCTGGCACCGGATGTAACATGTGTGCTCAGCACAGGGGCTCTGGTGATGATGGATGGCATTCATCCCTCAGTCTCCTTGAAAAGGGAGGCTTGTGCCAGGGGTGGTGGCTGCCCCGCCCTGCCAGGGACGCCCTGGGGAGCCTGACAGTGCCATGGTGGCAGAGGCAGAGAAAGGTAGGGAGCTTGTAGGCTTACTAAACCCTGGCTGGCCGAGTTGTCTCTGACACGCGAGGCTCGGAACTGCCTGGGCTCTGGAATCCTGGTGCAGGTGGCTGCACCCCCCTGGTGCAGGGTCAGGCACAGCTTGGCCTCACTGGTGCCAGGACTCCTGTGGTGGGAGAATCTGCCTGAGGTCTCATCCTGTCCTCCCTCTGGGGCTTCTAGCCCACTTCCTTTTTCTATCACACATCTTTGCCTCTGGCCCATCTGAAAAGATGGCTTTTGCTTACCATTTTCAATGTTTTCACATCTGCAATTACACTTATCCCTCCTACAATGACTGTGGAGCAAGCAGGCTTTCATTCTTCTATCCGTTCCACAAACAGTGGAACTATTGATTCTGTCACACCCTTTTCTAACGGCTGAGGATGTAAAGGCCAAGCCCTGGCTGTCCTGACAAGTTGCGTGGAGGCAGACCAGAGGCTAATTCCACGTGACAGAGAGGAAGCCCGAGGGGCGGTGCTGGCTGTCTGCCAGTGCCCTCCCCCAGAGCTCCTTGCTGGTTCCCAGGAAGCCGGATGGCCTCTTTAGCCTCTGAAGACCCCATTGCTTGGGTTGGGGCCATAAGAACTGGATTTTTTTGGGGGGTTAGTTTTAGGGGTGAAGGCAGCTGAAATGGTAGGGTGGGATACACCTCTATTCTTGGTAGGAGAGTACCCCAAGAGTGGGTGGCCCTGTCCATTACAATTTCATGCTCTCTACCCTATGGGTTTTCATGGGCTGGATCCAGGTTCAGGACAGCAGGCCGGGAGTTTGTCTAGGTGAGTGTTGGAGGCCAGCACTCTGGAAGGGAGCTTGACCTTGGTCGCAGCCACTAGTGGTGCGAGGGTTAACTGTTGGCCACCAGCCCCTGGAACCGAGCCCCTCCTCCTCCCGGAGTCAGGGTCTGCCTTCGGCCCTGGGAGGAAGGCTGCGGCAGGTGAGGCAGCCCGGAGGAGCTGTGAGATCAGGGCTGCTCCGCTCTCTGCCCAAGATCATTAATAACCAAGAACTGGAAAGATCATTAACAGCTGAGCCTCCAATGTGGAACTGAGCCTGCTGCTGGCTCTGAGGGCCGCTCCTGCTCCTGGGCCAGGTGCTGGCTGCCTTGTTCCTTCTCTAGGAATATATCTGGGGGTGGGGGCAGGAGGCTATGAATCCTGGGGGACAGGTAGCAGGAAGGATACATCCTGAGTTCAGAACTAGTTTGGCCTGGCTTCCTGCACCACCAAAGGAAGGGAAGAACGTGTGGCAGGGGAGAGGAGAGTAAGTAAGGCCACAGATGTGAAAGCGTCATAAACAAGGGCCTGGCGACCCACATGCTCAAATACCACTTTTTTTCTTTGGGTGAGATACAGAGAGAGGCCCTTGTGGCTGGCCTCAGAGCAGGAAAATCTTACTAACTGGGGTCCCTTCTGTTGCTGCTGTAGCTGTTTTTCCTTGTGTCTAGCTGAGCGGCTTGTGGTCCAAGCCAGCTTTTTGCAGGGAGCCAGGTGTGTGGAGGGGAGGAGGGCAGAGCTTGCAAAAGGGCAGGCTGATGTCTTCAGTCAGGACCCTCCAGCCTAGCCTGTCCTGCTCTTTGAAAGGGAAGGACTGTCCTCAAGTTTCCTAGGGGACTGGGGAACGAGAGACAACCCCTACCCCCAAAGCCCTATAGACTCCAGATAATTCAGACCAATCTTCTGTTTCCGAATTGCAATCTAGTGACAACTCATTAGGAGGCTATAAACCAAGTAGGTGTCAGGAGTCCTAATGAGTCGGGGGTCCCTGGCTACAAGTAGTTAGTCTGGCGAGTGATGTGGGAAACAGGTGTCACTGAGTAGCTTTATTGAGCATTTTGTGCTGGGCACTAAGCTCAGCACTTTAAACCCCACAACTGGCCAGTGACGTAGCTGCTGTTACCCCACTTTACAAATGAGGAAGGACAGACCACGGAGGCTCGCTCCTGCAAATGGCAGGCCCAGCTGCCTGGTCCACGCAGAAAGTACCCAATGCCATGCCTGGCATATAATGACACTCAGCGGAGGTTACCCCTCCAGTCGCAATCAACACCATCGGCCCCAGGTGGAAGAGATCCCAAGCTCTCTCCAACTTTCCAGTGGCCCTTAACCATGGGTCACCCTTGCTTGGGAATATGGCCCCACACAGGACGCTTCCACTTCCCCCAGGCCTGGCACTGCCAGCCACTGCCCCTCCGCAGTGGCTTTCCAGGAGCGGGGCAGCAGCCCTTGTCCTCCCCACCACTCTGACTCTGGCCTCTGCCTGTTGCCAAGGCTACTCCTGGCCCCGTGGTGAGGACGGCTGTGTGGCTAAGGGCCCATCATGGTGCCACTGCCCACCCCCACCACCCAGCAGTGCCTCCCAGTCTGTCACCTGCGATCCACCCCATCTATAAGCCAGCAGCTGCTGCTCTAGCCTCAGGTGAGGAACAGCCAGGAGCTGCTGGCACGAGGCTCTGGGGCTCAGGTGGGTCTGGTGCTTCTGCGGGGAGGGAGGCAAAGAAAGTTTACTACCACCTTGACCTGGTCTGCCCTGGGGGCATCTGGGGCCATGCAGGTGGCAGATGTTGGGTAGAGGCTGCTGAGTTTAAGCTTTCCTCCACAGCGACACCTGCTCCTGGGCCAGGCTGGGCTCGCATCCTCTTCTGCTCTCCCCACCACTGACCTCGGGGGCCCATCTGCAATATGGAAACCACAAGCTGAACTTGCCTACTTTGCCAAGTTGATGATGGCTGCAGTGAAATGTGCCTGATGCACGTGGAGAGCCAGCATCACCCGGGGCTGTCTTGCTGTTGGGGTTCTCTGCCCCTGGCCCCAAGCCCCATTGGCCGTCAGCGGCAGAAGCCTGGCATTGATGGAGAGGAAGGTGACCTCATCTGACTTACAGCAGGAGGACACTGAGGAGCAAAGCAGCTAGACAACAGCAGTGGTGAGGGTCCCCACTTGGCAGCAGTGATGTGGTCACTGTGGGCCAGTTCCCTCCAGGGCCGGGGCTGCCCCAGCTCAGAGGTGGCGGGGAACATGGCCACTGATTCCATGGCTGGGCGGTTCCAGACTGTCACATAAATTAACCTGGGCTTTATGAAGCTCATGAATTTTCGTCCAAGATTTGGTTTGGAGTCTGGGGTGGCAGGATGATTTAATCAACTTTGTCTTTAAGCAAGAGGGAACATAACTGGAGAACAGTAATTCCAGATGTTTTGAGTTTTCAGCCACAGGGGTGCAGCCAGGTCTTCCTTGCTCTTGGCCTGACCACTGCAGGCCCCTGCTCTACCTATCCTGAGGGGTCTCCTGGGAGGAAGCCGCAATGGCAGATGGAGAAGGGGCATTTTTTTTTTCCCGTGGATGGAAAATGACGCGTGGGGACAAGCTGTGAGAACCGCCGAGGTGCGTCGGCAGAGAGAAAGTGGGCTGAGGCCAATTACACCGCACAGGAACTCTCCCAGGCTTCAGCTGCCAGGGCAGAGGTGGCGCAGCCTGTGGACTCCCCGCGTTCCCTGCAAATCCCACATCCCCCTGACCCTGAGACCCCTGGGCCCCAGGAGACCCTACATCGTCGCTCTGTCAGAGGTCTGAAGATGCTGAGATACAGGGGAGGGGCTGAGCAAGGCACTGAACTCAAAAGAGGGAGGGGTCGGGCCTGAGACCCACCCCAGAGAGGCGGCTCCAGGACAGGCGGGACCAGGCCCAGGGCTGGGGGCAAGCCAGTGAGGGTCAGGGGGACCCCCAGGTCCTGAAGCAGTAGAAGGCACGTTGAAAATACAGAGTTCATTCGAGTCACCTGTGTTTCCTAGGAGGCCAGCCCAGCAAGTGCGTGCATGGCTAAGTGGGAGGTGGCTAGGGACCTGGTCTCCTTCCATGGGAACGGCAGTGGGGGCCCCATCCAACCCCACATTGCCCAAAGGACATAGTGTGAACACTGAGCACCCACACCCAGCCCCTAAGGGAGCTGCCTTTAGCGTTGGAATGGGAGCACGGGCAGCCTGACCGTGGTCAGGGTGGGAACCTCAGAGCCCTCCCACTGCCATGTCACTGCCAAGCCGCTGCGGTGCCAGGTGGGGATGGCTGCCCTCTAGTAGGACCACCCGCACTGCGAGAGGCCCTGAGGGCGCCAACGGGGCAGCGAGGGCAGCAGACGGTCCCTTTCAGGGACAAGCTCCAGACTTTAGGCCCAGCTGGCAGGCGGCTGTGTCCCTATAGAAGGGACACTCCATCCAGCCTGCTACTCCGGAGCTCACGCCCACAGCGAGAGCCCTCGCAGCTCTATCTGGGGACTCTGGTACCAGTTAGCACTTCTTGTTCTGGTCATGGGGCCAGCCAGGCCCTCTCTGAGGTGGCACCTAGCGCCTCCCAGGCCTGGTGGGAGGGTGGGCCTTGCTGTCACAGGTTGGCCTGGCTAGGATGCTTCCAGCCTGGGATTCGCCTCTGAAGAGGCAGCAGTTGCTAGTGGAGGTTTCTTAGACAAGGACGCAGGACAGGGCTGGAGAGGGGAGGGCCATGGGTCTGGGACAAATGATGGCAGTGCCAGCACTGCATCTCCCACCGTGCAGGGAGGAGCCCGCCGTGGAGG